AAGAGGCTGCTCTTCTATACCTTCCGAAGAAGATTCGCAGGCCTCTTCCTCATCCGAATCAGGATCTGTAAGAAAATTACTTTAAGTTAAAACTATTTAAAGAGAAAGTTTGAATGAATTTTATATTCTTACCATATCCATCATTGTCATGGTGTTCCTTCCGGATGTTAAACAAAACAGCCATGGCAATGATGGCTGTTTTCGCTGTCGGAAGGGGTATCTGCATGACGTTGCGAAGAGCTTTAAACATGCCCTTCCATTCCCCAAAGCAGTGCTCTACAGTTATGCGTGTAGATTTATGGGACCTGTTATACCTCTGTTCAGGTTGAGTTTGAGGAGATTGGATCGGTGTTAGAAGGTATGGCTTGCATGGGTATCCAGCATCCCCAAGCAAGATTCCCTTTATCCTCGAGGCCTATTAAATAAGAATAAATATATTATCACTTCATTGATTACCTAATATCAAACATGCTTTTAATAAATGAAAAAATTTTTACCTCAAACTCTTCCTTCAGAGTGGACGAATCCCATATACGTGCATCGTGAACACTGCCTCGCCATTTAGCAACAATATCCAGAATTCGTCTCTGAGCATCGCACACTACTTGCACGTTGATAGAATAATAACCCTTACGGTTAACATACAACATAGCTCGCTCCCAACTGGGGTTTTTTATTGCAATGTGGGTGCAATCAATACAGCCCACAACCCCAGGAAAGTGGTCTATGTTGTAAAACTCCGTTTTAAGAGTTTCCATTCTAGCTGGATAAACAACAAATCGTGGAAGCAGTGCAGCAATAGCATTAGATACTTTTGCAACTATTCTGAATACACTAGGCTGGGAAACGCTATGCAGATCTCTTAAAATGTATAATGATTTTATTGATATCATGCAAATAACAGAGTATTATAATAATTTATTTTAATATTAATTTTCACAACGAGCATTGACTTATGGTAATGACTCATCTAATTCTGTTTGGTAACATCCTTTAGCATAGAACCGCAGGGCTTCAAGCACCTGCATTGCTGGGGATATGTCGGTGTGGTGACCGGCATGAGACACTAACCTATCTTCCACTAAACTGATCACAAATCGTACACTGTCTTTCGATAAGCGATATCTGTTTCGAAATTCATGATCACTAAACAATTCAAACGGATCACGTCTCTCTCGAAAAACTTGCGGATTTCTTACTCTCATTTCATTAACTTCGCGGACTTCGTCCACTTCGGCAATAGCCTCTATTTGTTCCGCCATATTTGAGCGACCTGTCACTTTAAACATGCCCCTGCCCACATCTACGAACAGGTCGCTGTTAGTCACAAGATGGCGCCTAATAGCGCGCTGTTAGAGGCTTAAAAGCGGTTCTGAATAGGCTTTTTCGCTAATAGCGCGCTATTAGCTGTTAGTGACCTTAAGAGTGACCATAAAAGCGGTTCTGAATACGATCACCTATAAACTCACTAACAAATAATTTAAAAGCGCGCTATTAACACTAAAAGCGAGTTCTGAATATGGGCTTAAGAGTATCGTCGTAGTTTCCCTGTTTATCTGCATGTAATTGAGTGAGATACAATCGCTCGCTGTAACGTCACTGAATTTCAGAAGGTACCCTTTATTCCTTATAATCTCTATTCCTTTAATGTGACAAAATAGTTGTAGCAACGTATTACGTTTTGAGTGGTCCTGAAAAGGACCGATTTTGATCTACGCATGGCCGAGCTTGGATCTGGACATGCTAATCTGCAACAATTACATACATTTTCTATGATAATGATTATTCTGAAACAGTAAACATTGTAGAGTACATAAAATTTTTATCAGGATGTCGCCGATTAGGGTGCCTAATTGCATATTCTTGCGCTGTTTGTGTTTGGTTGCCATTACATTGAGCTAACACCCAATACATGTCGCAATATTCTCTCACAGGATAATCTTGTAGTCGAAACAACATAAATCGAACTAACTGTCTCCGCAATATGAAGCGAAATAGATTATAATTTGTAAACAGTGTAGTATATCGGGTGGTTAATACATTAATATACTTATTTATTTATACATATATATTTGCTGTTAATAATTGGTGTTACTCATGATACATATTCGTGCACATTTGCATAGCTACTGCTGCACGTGCAGTGTTGGCGAGTGCGCCGAGGCTCGCTTCTCATAAACGCTGACGCCGACGTTTAAACGCTGACGCAGGCGTTTCTTCATACGTTACAAACAGTAATAAGTCTACTGCGGTCGAATGACTTGTTTACAAATTACAACTTATTTCACTTCACATTGCGGACACAGTCAGTTCGCATTATGAGTAATTATTCTGTGAGAGAATATTGCGACATGTATTGGGTGTTAGCTCAATGTAATGGCAACCAAACACAAACAGCGCAAGAATATGCAATTAGGCACCCTAATCGGCGACATCCTGATAAAAATTTTATGTACTCTACAATGTTTACTGTTTCAGAATAATCATTATCATAGAAAATGTATGTAATTGTTGCAGATTAGCATGTCCAGATCCAAGCTCGGCCATGCGTAGATCAAAATCGGTCCTTTTCAGGACCACTCAAAACGTAATCAAGAGACTCGGTCGAGTCTCGCGCCAAGTACAGGCAACCGGCTGTACAGGGCGCAGCGCGCCGAGACTCTTTACTCGAGTCAACTCCTTATACCTGTGTTTGGAACAAAATATCTTATGAACCGCTATATATGAGGAAAAGTTATTGATACATTCACTATAGGAATTGAAGGTTCTGAAGCGATTGCCACCAAGTTCAATACGATTAGTGTACGAGATCAGGGCGTATTGAAATGGCGAGCGAGATGATTTTATTTCAGTTCCGTC